GATTACGACTAATTTGCAAACGTTATACTCTCTAAACTATATCTCCCACCTTTCCCAACTGAGGTTAGATTTGAGGGAATGGAATAAACAACGTTATTCCTGGTTTGGCAGAGCTGCCATTTTAAAAATGACGGCCCTTCCACGATTCTTATACCTCTTTCAGACAGTACCCATACAAGTTCCCAAGGCCTTTTTCACCACAGTGAACACGTTTTGCTCATTTCTATGGAACAGAACCCCACGGATTAGCACCCAAACCCTCACTCGCTCCAAGATTTCCGGAGGCATTGGCCTTCCCCATATCCAAAGATATTACTGGGCGTGTCATATGGCCCGCATCATAGACTGGGCGGTTCATGCCCCGAAGAAAGACTGGGTTCGGATAGAACAGCTACTGACAGACACCCCCCATCGGCTCCTGGCCTGGGCTACAACGCCCGCAACTACCGACTCAAGTATTGAATCACCAGACGGTAGGTTTTAACCACAATAAACAATAGACAGGCCCTTTCACGTCTCTGCGCTTCAACCCGGCCTTTCCCCCGGGTCAGTGTGCATCTTTCCTATGCCGCTGAACCACCGACACTCCCCTAACTGCTCTGGTATTCTTTGACTGACAGGGTCATTTTCACACTCTCGCAGACTTAAACGAGGTGAACCCCTCTTCTCCCATACCACTGTGGTCCTATTTTCAAATACACTACCTCAACTCACACCTCGCATAAAGAACTCTTTTTCCCGCGCTTTAACCCCATGTGAAAAGCTATGCACCTCCAAACAGAGAACGACACATGCAATTTCATCTCTATACTCCCTCTTGAACGATTCCTCTACCCTCCCACCGACACCCTCCATGAAGGCATGGGAACGCGACCTCTCAGCTTCCTTCACAACACAGGAATGGGAACTAATGGATTCCCTACTATTAGGAAGCTCCATGAATGTCCAAGTACAGGAGACTAAACTATAAAGTTCGCTCACGCTGGTACAAAACCCCGGCCTTACTCCACCACATATACCCGGATGCCCCTGACCAATGCTGGCGCTGTGACAGAGAAGTGGGCTCCCTATTGCACATATGGTGGTCATGCCCATTGATCTCGCCCTTCTGGCAGCTGTCCACACCCTGATGAAAACCATAACTGGAGTCACGATAGAATTCTCCCCAGCTAGCCTCCTATTATATCATTTTGACGACACACTCCATGTTTCTAAAAAATCCCTCACAATTCACCTGCTGAATGCGGCAAAAACTGATTTTAGACACTGGAAGTCGCCATCCCCACCAACAATCCGGGAGTGGCTCTCCCGAATAGATACAGTATCGGTCATAGAGGAACTTATCTACTCTAGCAGAGATGACATGTCCAGATACCTTAAAAGCTGAACGTTGTGGCATTTATTCCAAGACTCAGAGGCATGTAAAGCTTTAAAGCGGTAACACTACTCCTACTTGCTCTCTACTATGCTATGCTTTCCCCCTTCTCTCCCTACTTGAGGGTCGGACGGGATCCTTTCCCCCTCTTGCCTTCTCACCCCACCTTCCTCTCGCCCCCCTATTCTCTCCTCTCTCCGCACTTCCATACCTGCTAATCCCCCTTCCCACAACTGCCCCCCCTTCCCACAACTGTGCCCCCTGACTTTCCCACCCGCCAGGCAATGATAGCACCTCATATACAGTGGTCATCCCCGATATCCAAACCAGATCGGACTAGAAACAAAAAACCTTTGGAAAGTAAGACATCAGAACACTAATTGCTATACACCTTTCCTAATGTTTAGGGGTCATAATAACCCTGCAGCGTTAGTGGGACCTGTTAGTCCTTTGGCCCACCCGATTGAGGTATACATGTATTCTTTTCCATCCTACTATGTGAACTAATGTGATACCAGTACACTGGAATAGAATCTCCCATGTTGGGTCCCACTCGGCTACTGTTATTGTACCCTCTTTGGTTTATTGCTTTGTAACACAGTTTTGAATATCACATGGCTGTTTTTGACTATCAGTTTAATGCCTATGTACCTGTCATTGTCAAGGCTCTAAATAAACATTCTTACTTGTGGAAAAAGAAAAAAAAGATTACCAATAAGAGGTGCAACAGATGTGGCGATCATACTACAAAGAGTATCAAAAAGGAATCTATACCTGAACGAAGGCAAGATGAAGAAATGCAAATCAAATATGGAAATTGCCACGACCAAGTGGAGGAACGTTAGAGGACCAACCACACGCTCCAGAACAGATCATCACCAATAAAAAGGGAAAAACTGCTGCTTGACGGAGCTATGGGCTTCAGTCAGCAAAGTGGCGGTCCAACCAACCATCCACAAAAAAACAAAAACAGATGGAGCAACACGCTACCAGAAAAGAAGAAAATTAGACCAAAAAATTATGTGGTCAACAAAAAAGAAATGTTTGCAAGGGTGGCTTGATGCACACTATAAAAAAAAAAAACTTTAGTATCTAAACTTATTTATTTGCTAACAAAATTTGTGGTTTACATTTTGCTCCTGGTCGACAGCTACATTCCACAGTCGGCATCAGAAGGTAAACAATGGGGACTAATAGCCGGCCTGCTATTGGCTATTTGAAATTGCAATAGCCGAAAGCAGGCTGGCTATTGCACATGATGGCCAAAACTCTAAATTTTGGTAACATTTTCTGAAAGCTCAGAACCGGTAGAATACTAAGATGGTGCCTCTAATTTTGTAGCTCCACGACAGTTGTGCAAATGTTTATCAAAAAGCATTTTTTAGATAAAAAAAAAATATATACTAAAATCATTATTAGAGCACAAACAAAAAAAGATAAAGTTCACAAGATTCCTGCTAAATTTAAAAAGATAAAACTGTACTGAGTTAATTTGAAAATTTTAAAATGCGCCTTTGCAAAACAGTAAAAAACAGAGCAATATACACTAAAAACTCGGAGGTTGACCACACACACGTTGTGGCAATGTCTGATCTGCAGTGCCATTTGTGCGGTACATTGGTGTGTGTTGTGATAAGATGCAGCCATACAGTGCAATTCAGCATATTTCAAGACACAGCTTTGCATTTCAAAGCTTTGTCATGTACTGTAACACACACTTAAATTAAATTTGTTTAAA